TTTAACCACTTAGAGGCTTTGCCTCAAGAAATCAATGTGAGTTTCACCGTGTCCTATTTACAGCAAATACCAAGAAGGTGGCTTTCAAACAGTAAGGGTTTCTGGCTGTGCATGTGACTCCCTCTGAGAACGAGCATGCAGGGCCCTTTCTCACTCTGGCTGCCCAGGCAGGGAAGCCAGGCCTCTCATTCTCTCCAGACCCTGTAATCAGGTAAAGGAGAGCGTAGTTCTGAGTGGGTCAGAAGCCAGGTGAAAAGATTGTTTGATGGATGAAGCTTCTGTGCTGATGTTTTTTCTTCTTTTCTTCCTTTTGTAATAACGAATACTAAATCCAGAGTCTTCACACCAATGTATATCCCAGCTCTTTGTATTTTTCACTTTGAGGCAGGGTCTTCCTAAATCACTGAGTTTGCCAGACTATGCTCAGACTTGCAATCCTCCTGCCACAGCCTCCCAGACTGCTGGGATTACAGGTATACAGCGCCATGCACAGCTATAGCCTTCTTTCATGAAGTTAAGCAATGAGACAGAAAAGGCAAAAAATACTCAGATCCTTCTATTCCCTTAGGGAGATACTTTCTATGTCTTCTGTGGATGCCTACAATCACATATAGCACCACACCTCAGACATACCTACTACATTTTTTCACAAACATATTCATATATATATGCCTACAATAAAATTTAATTTGTAAATTAGGCACAGTGACTAACAAAGTAACTAATAATAAAAGAGCATAATTATAAAAATATTGCATAATAAAGTTTATTTCAAACTTATGACTGCTTATTTCCAGAATTTTCTTTTTAAAATTTTGGACCTGAGCAAGTAAAACTATGGAAAGTTAACCTTAAGATGAGGGCAGATTACTGTTTTTATTACTTTGACAGCTAATCATCTATAAAGGAGCCCGAGTGGACACTGCCAGGCACAAGAAATTAATAAACACAAATACTGAAAAAAGCGAGATGATTACCTTTGGGAATAGTTTGTAAAAAGGTGAGTTAAAGAGTCGTTGATTAGTTTTTTAGGTCACTGAGAAAAACACTTTTAATTCTGTTTTAAAGTTCTTGTTGTGAACACAGATTGCCTATTATCTTTGGTACAAAGACAGGGAGTTTACTGCTGATGTGAGCATATTATCAGATTTAATAATTATCTTTCAGATTTAAAAAATTGAACTGTTCACCTTGGAGAAACAATACAGAACGTTTAGTGAATAGTCTAATGTAATATAAGCATCTAAAAACTAAAGTGGCCACCTTTTTAATTAGTTTAGTTTTGGAAGCTTAGAAAGAAACAAAATTACTTAAATATCAAAACTTCCAATTGTGCAGACAAGAAACATTTGGGACATTATGTACATTTAACAGCTTTTGAATTTACCCCCCACCTGTATGAAAAGATGTTCAGAACAAACAACTACTCTTCATCTTTCCTCTTACCCTTCATCTGGGTAGATTTTATTTATGCACTAGACAACCTTTTTGGCCATTAGCACCATCTTGCTTCAGCAGTTAATTAACACAAGTACCATAATTTAATACAGTTAATGCTACTTGATGCCCTTTAATGTACCTTCCATTAGTGATATTATTGTAGTATTGCCCTGTAAATTAAAATGAGATCAAGACTAAGAGAGCTGCTCTTTAATTAAGGCACTGGCACACGGACTTGTCTATTATTCACTAGAGAAAATCACCCTGATTTACTGAAGCAGGACATCCATAAGTCAGAATTAGTCCATGAAGATTATTAGTTTTATTGAACAATGTAAGTACCACGGAGTTGCTGAGATTGCTAATAGCAATGTTTCCTCATTTTCCTCCATTATCTTAGTAATCATATAATGAGGTATAAATGAAAGCAAAATAAACTGTAGCAAAAGAAGAATAAGTTTGATAAGATTATAGTTTTTGTTATCAGTAAAACATGAATCAGGTGTATTGTATCACATGCTAAAAAGAACATAAATGATGCATTAATAAAACAACAATCAAAACATTTTTACATCAAACAAAACAGTTTAAAATACATATATAAAGAAATAGAGAATTGAAATTTATAGTCAATCAATTTAAAAGGTCACAAAATATTGTTGTTTAATATATTAATATTTCGAAATAAAAAATTTGGAGAGCTATGTCAACTATTTTGTGGATATTTACGTCTGATTTCCATTCCGTTCTCCCAAAATAACTCTTATCAGTTTCTGCATTTTGGTGGGGGTGGTGTTGGAAGTGACAAGTGAAAAAACATCATTATCAGCTACCAATGTGCACAGACATGTAACAAGGTGCAGTTGTTTCATGGAATGCTGGCTGTGATACAGGAAATCAAGCCCTCAGTTACACGTTACACTTTGGAAAATTTATGTTTATGACAGCTGTGAAGAGGAATTTTTAAATCTTTCAGAAATCATCAGATAATATTCAACCTTCTAAAGGTGCTATGTAGTATAAAAGATGGCATAGTTGATTAGGCCTGCAGAAATTTCAAGGGTAAATAATCATAGCACGCTGAAAGGCATTGTGAACTAGGGTATTGCTCAGCCTTCCCTTTAGTGGTTCCATCATGAGCAGATCTTCCTTATATAACTTAAAAGCTGGAGACACGCCCGAGCCATCAGGCCTTGCCTCTTTAGTCCCTCCCCTAAGACTAAAAATATTCAGGCCATCTGGTGTCTGGTGCAGCACATGCCAGCATCAGTTTTGCCCTGAGGAATTTGGACAGAGTGTGGAGGTGACAGAAATGGAACTTATGGAAAGGTTCACCTCTGCTGGACCTTTCTCTTTTGCCCAGCTGCTTCTCATCAGCTTTCAGTTGACAGGTGAACAGGAAAAGACAGTGGAGGTGAGTCCCAGAGAATAGACAAGGGCTCCTGCGAGCTCCTCTGAACTGCTGAAGTGCAGTTGGAGGACACTACCAGAATGAGAGACAAAAGAAAAATGGTAATCTGAAGGGATTCTGCACTTCTAACATGTCACCCTTAGAGATGGGTTGTCTGGTTTCAATGGAAAATGTGTAAAAACACCTTTGTCATTTAAATGCAGTTTATACCTTTTAAATATAATCAGAGGAAAGAAAAATAAATACTGAATTTTAAAAAAGCCTCCATGATGGTTATTTCCCAACTAAACAGCTTCTGAAGATTGGCTTCTTAACAGTGGTAAATGAGTGTGTTTAGGGAAATTTGGTCTATGGCACGTTTTGTGCTCAGATTAAGGATTTCTCAATCTGTCAGGAAACTAATTTTTGTGAATTTAATCTAACAATATAGGTCACAGTAGGGTTTAAATTCAAACCTTAATCTATAATACTGACCTTTAGTCTCTACAGTATTGAATGTGAATCATTGATTTTCATGTGCTAATGTTAGTAATAACATCAATAATTATTTTCCTATATCAAATGACCGAAATCATCAGATACTGGAATTGGTATCTTTTACTACAGCGCTTCTGAAAATAATTACTGCATTTTATTATAAACAGCGGACTTATATTTCAGACAACATATCCCCCTTACTATGGACCCCTACTAATATTATAAGCTGTTCTCTGTTACCTGGAACCTCTTCACTCAACACAGATATACACAGGTCAGTGCACATTTCTCTCAAAAATGCCATTTTGCTTTAGAGATATCTTCATTATCTATGACTAAGATTTTGGTTAAAAGCTAAAGATTCTTGACTCTTCCATGGAGAACACAAAGCTAGAACAAAGCAGATGGCCATTCATTACTGCTACTTCTGCAGCTGTGCCCCTGAAGCTTCTGACAGCACTCTGAATGGTCACACCACATACCCTGTGTGCCCGTCATGGCTCTGAGCTTAACAGCAGGGGCCTTTTATTCCTCTGGCAACATACAAGAGGAAACTAAAAGACCAGAAAATCTCAACAGCTCCATTTTCTGAGGACTAGTCTTTCCCTGAAAAGGTTGAAGGTCAGCACACTGAATTAATCCTGTTTTATTATGTTTACATTATTTAATTACTTACATACATGATAGATGCACTGTTTATATCCTTATCTTTAGTTTTTTTTTTTACTTAGAGCTCGTGGGATTTTTAGGGTGATTATTGCTTTGCCTGTCCTTTGGTTCCTTCTCCCCATTTGCTATAACTCCACTATTTAGGTCTTCCCATTTACTCCCTAGTGAGCTGGCTATTTGATAATATGCCATGATTAAAAAGCTGGTTAAAAACCTCAGTGTGGAGAGGTTCTCATTCCTCAAGTGTTTCACTTAAATATCTTCAAAATTCTTAGAAACTCAGTTGTGTTTCTGGCATACCAAAACTAAGGGTATTCCTGGCTATGTACATTAATTTCCAACTCTAGTCCATCGTTCATTCACCTACAAATTGAAGAGTGTGCAACTCAAGTCCATACTTCAAATATAGCATATCATTTCAATAAAAGAGTCACCAATAAAACGCAAGTAGAGTTTGAGTTTCTTTAACAAATGCATTGCTTCTTCAATGCTTCAATTTTGATATAATAAATTTAAATAAATATAGCATGCATTTTGAGATTCTTTTGCTCAGTACACTATTATCAGGTTTTGGTACCTTGTTACATTTCTCTTTTATGTTCAAAAACATAAGATATATTTCTTTTTCTTTAGCCCCTTTTAGAGCAACTGACTGTGCTACCCCTGACTTCATTGCCTTAATGATTTAAAAACCACCTCCTGACCTGAGGAGTTTCTTTGTCTTAAAGAAGATATTTTTATGTGTTATTTATTTAGTAAGGTGAATTTTCAAAGAAAAAATTATAGATTCTAGCCAAGTCCAGTGGCAACAGGCCTTGGATCACAAATTACTGCTGAGTACAAAGGGTCACAGATACATTCAGAATCTACCTCTGCACTAGCTTTCCTGAGAAAGTGCAGTCTAGAACTTGACAACTGTCACTCTGTAGCTGTCAGAGCACCACACTGGAGTTTTCCTTGGCCACACCCATTTCCCATTCAAGGTGAACCGCGGTTTTCTTACCTTCCTCGCACCTTTATGTCTGAGATTGCGTAAAAATAGCGTGCCAAGTGAAGCTCGTCTACAAATATCTCCCCAACAGCTGGTCTCAACAGCCTTATCCTCAGGTCTGTGACAGTAAAGAAATCTCTGAGTTTCTTGGTTGTATCCAGCTGGCCGTAGAGAGAAGCCATATTCCGTAGCCGAGGTCCAGCAAAAAATGCAAACCTGTCTTTGATTTCAAAGTGAATTATTTTGCTATTTGTTGTATACCCCGTGGAATACTCTTCTGTACAAATGATTTCTAAGACTGTGTGCTGTGATAAATCCTTCACAGATTTCGGATCCATGTGAAAAGCATCTAAGCAATCTGTGGCATAATACTGATAGGGCTGCCATGTTCGTCCATAATCAAGAGATTTCTCCAGGATCATTTGGTCTGGACGCCCCGATTCAAAAGTAATAACTATGTTGTCTGTGAGCTCAATCGTTTTGCTCCAAGATAGAGTGATGTTAACCTGGAGAGGCTTGGGGTATTCCTTCCAAGTAGCAGACTGCCAAAACGTGGAGGGATGTCTTCCTTCAAAATCAAACATCAGCTCAGGGGGGTGTGCCAGCTCAGGGGTACTTGCGTCACACTCATTATTGCACATGTAGGGGTTGCCCTATGGAAGAAGAAAAAGAGGGTGCATCAAAACACTAATTTGACACAAGTCTTGCCATATTGCTGTTGCTAAGAGGCTAAGAAAGAGAAAAAAAGTTTTTAGTAATCACTTTTATTTGCCCTAGCCAGATTCTCCTATTTAATAGCTTTAAAGAAGCAATATGGTAATTTTCTTGTCTTGTTTTCTTCCAGGGGCTTTAAGAAATGAAAACAGCTTATTTATCCCATATGTGTTAGACCCATAATGTGGTCACAGGAGCACAAAGACACAGAGCAACTGTCTAACAGTTCAGTAGTTCTGCTTCCTCTTAGAAAGAGGCAAAGCAAGGGAATTTCTTCCCTGCCTCAAGGACATTCCTTAAGAGCATTATTCTTTAAAAAGGCATTTTCCAAGCAGGGCTTCAGAATTGGCCAGGAACATGGACACCTGTGTCCTGTTTGGGAACAATATCCCCGTCCAATGTTCAGCTGCTCTTGGCTTTGCCTTTAATCCATCATACTTAACTGCTTCCCTGCTTCATAAAGTCTGGTTTTAAAACATTTACTTTATTCACCACAAATCATTAAAATGTGGTACACTCCGGGCTCTGGGGCTTGGTCCAAACATCTGCCACTCTATTAACTAGAGATAAGAGGATTTCTCAAGAAAGTCTTGGAGTTGGGGTTATGTCCCAAGTTGTCAGGACAAGAAAACTCACTATGGCTATCTCTCAATATCCACAAGGGATTGGTTTCAGGACCCATATGGATATCAAAATCTGTTTTTGCTCAAGTCTCATATAAAATGGCTTAGTATTTGCATTAAACTTTAAAGTATAAATCATCTTTAGAATACAATACAATGTAAATTCTATGCAGAGTTGTTATATGGTACTTTTTAAAGGGAATTGACCCAACTGCCAAAGGTCTGACTGGCTTCCACAGCGAACAGGAGAAAAAGGTGAGCAATGCTCGAACAAGGAGTGCTAGGGAAGGATGAAGAACTGGGAAGCAGCCGAATGCTACAGCAGGGCACATCTTTCATCTCTTCATTCACATAATTCAACGTAATGCTCAGCACATGGCAAATTCAAATTTTGCTTTTAGGAACCTTCTGAATTATTTTTCTCAATATTTTCAATCTACTATTGATGGAATTCTGTGGATACAGAACCTCTAGATGTGGAGGGCCAATTTCACTCAATTAGGAGGGTGTTATACACCAACCTTTAGCCACATGCATGTTTATTACACTGTGCCAGTCCATAGGCTGCTCTCCACAGATGGTAATTATTTGTATCATTATCATCAACATCATCATCATCATCATGATTCCTCTGACAAAGGGTACTTCCTTTATAGCCCAAACAAAAAGCTGAAAATAAATTCCTTTGTCATCTCACAAGATATTATCCTGCTTCCCTGCACTAAATGCCTACTCTCAGATTTCATCAGAAGATTCTCTGGAGAATGATTGGCTTCCAGATTTATGTTTATTTTGTTTTAAAAAATAATGGGGTCCACTATTCAGGTCCCACCCTAAGGGACCTGAATATGTACAGGAAACCTGGTCAAAGAACCCCAATGAATGTTTTTTTTTATGGTTCCTTACCTGTGATAAAGTATAATCTACAAATTAGGCACACTAAGAGACTAATAACAGTAAGTAATAATATAATAGAATGCTAACAACAATATACTGTAATAAAGTTATGTGAACATGGTCACTCTCTGAAGAGAGATTGTACTCATTCTTCTTGTGATGATGTGAGCTGAGACAATGTCTGCAATGATGATATGATGTGAATGAATGAAAGCAACACTGGAACTTGGTGATAGCTGCTTGCTGAGGACAGCTGAGCTGATTCAAAGTGAATAAGGAGTGCATATACAAAGTGGATACACCGGACAGAGGAGTGATTTATACCTAAGATTGGATGGAGCAGATAATAGTGGTAATGCATAATTCAAAATGTACAAATCACTTATTTCTAAAATATTCCAGTTAATAGTTTTTGACCCCAGTAAAAATGGGTAATTGAAACATGAAAAGTGAAACTACAAATGGGTAAAGGGAGAAATACTATGTTTCTTTCTTATTCAGTCCTATGAATTATGCGCAGGGATGGATGAAAGAATCCACGATCTGGTATTTCCTTAGCCTTTCTTTTGGAATTACAGTTGGATTCTTTTCTTTTTTTTTTTTTCATGAATTGTGAGATTTTCATACCTGTTGGATGCATAAGTTGGTCTCAAATAATGAATCTACACTTTACATATTGATGTTCAGTTACCTGCTGACTCGCATGAAATATTAGATGAATGTTGGAGAATTGCTATGGCCTCCCCAGAGGTAGATTTCTTCTACCTAGTCAGCTAATACTCTCTCTCTCTTGCCCATTAATGCAATTGAATCCTAAAGCTGGCAACAGGTTTGGGAGACTAAAGTATAATTGAGATGAGGCAGGAGAAAGAAGAGACGGTACATTATTTGAGGAACAGAACTGTTTTAAAAATACACTCAAGAAATCAGTGATAATGGAAATGTTTCTATACTTCTTTCTCAAATTTCAATTCCCTATTCCTGATCCCAGCGTCTGTGACACTATTTATAGATATCCCCTTCAAAATGAGCATGGGTTGGGCTGGGGGTGGGGGGATATGTTTCTGTTCCAGGTGGAATAAATCACTAAATTTATTATTATTTAAACTCTCTTGAGCATGCTAGAGAGCCAAATGTAAAGCTCTGCAAACTGGCAAAGGCTTTTTATGGAGGGCTATAAATATTGTAGAATCTGTCAGGATTTATAAATTCTAAATATATGTAAATGTGCATTTTACTGGAAGGGGTCAGATTTATACAAATTGCACCTCTATTTGGAATTTACTGAAAAAATATGATTACTTCAAAATTTGTCAGTATGTAGCCATCTGTACAATCATTAGCTTGGACATTACCATCTTCCTTCTAATGAAAGAGTTTTCATCTGAGATCATGAGCATGGAGAAAAGGGAATCAGCTTTGTAGGACTATATATTTGTATTAAGCTGTGTTGAAAGACAGGCATTGTTGCCTCCAGTCTATGGCTCCAGAGCTATTTGGAGCCGGGCGAAATGCTGGGACTGATGAGGAGGAGCCACATTCAGCTGATTATGGATATAAGTCAACACTAGCAGACCTATCTTAAAAAATATCTCTGAAAATATCTAATAGGCATTAACTCCTGTATTCCATGAAAGGGATTTGGTAATGTCCACCTACTATTAGTCCTTACGTGCTGGGCATTTTTCAGATACCTGAAAATCTCTTATTCCTACTTCACAGAGGGAGAATCTGAGGCATAAAAAGTATTAAGGAATGTGCCTGAGATCACATAGTAAAGTTGTAAGAAGAGTTCCTCTACCTACCCCTGCCCTGGTCTGTTCAATACACAAGAGTCAATGGAATTACTTGCATTGTCCTGCCTTGGAATAAGCATTGGTTAGTAGAAAGAAATATCTAATGTCTAATGTCAAATGAGTTTTAGTAAAACCCTTCTTAGACCTAATGAATATTATCATGTGTTGGAGATGACTTGCTTAGTTTTTTTCTTTTTTTTGTAAACACCAATTTCAAAAACTTTGTTGACTATGAAGTCCCTTCTGAATTTACTGACTCATGCTTATATATTAATATAAATAGTACCTATTCTGAAAACTGTAAATGTGTGGAGGTCAGGTACCATCTCATATCCCACTTTTAAGCTTTAATGGAGACATGGACACAGAAAATACTCTATCTCTGCTTCTGTTCTCCAGGTTGGGGTACCTGTGACCTGCGACTCAGTGGGACAACCAGCTTCACACAAATATGATGCTTTAGGCAACTGAATGATGAAAGAAAAAATCTCCTGCATTCAGTAAATATTGACTGCCTACTATATTACAGAATTTAAGATGCTTGTCTTGGCACTTTAGGTACCAAAATACAGGTCCTTGCTTTGTTTGGCATTTCTGCCCCAGTTGGATGAGATAAAAATGAACATAGTGCTTTATAATGTTACATAGAAATAATGACTATGGAAAAAATAAAGCCAATGAAAGGGAGATGCCCTGGGGAAGGAATGGTGTTTGTAATTTTATATTGGGAGGTCAGAGAAGGTCTCTCTGATAACATGACATTTGAGCAGATAAAGAACAATTTCCAAGTCACACTGGAGATGATCAGAGAAGGTTGATTAGAATGACAATTTCGTCCTTCATCTGTCTCTACTCTTAGTGATATTTTCAGCAGCATGAAAAATTGTTGCAATTGATGGATAAACAAATCATTTGAAATGAGAAATTACACCTAATAATTGTACATAACAGAGAACAAAGGAAAATAAAGAAAATCGATTGGACAATTTTCCATTTTTCATAGCACTCATAGTCTTTTAGAGCATGATTTGATTACCATTAACACAATTTTCCAAGAGACAACAGCACTGTGAGAAAATTAATGGAGTATAGCAAAAAAAAAAAAAAAATGGTGGGGTGTCACTCTGGTCTCAGCATGTTAGGTAAGAAAGAAGGACGAAAAGAAGAAAGCTGAAATTGAAAATCTTACCATTAGTGATAGAGACGGCTAAAGAAGAGATTATATGCAAAAATATTGAGTGTAAATATTTCTTATGGGTGTGATTCATAATACTGTTGTTATAGAGAATTATCAATATGAAAATAATTCTCATTAAAGAGATTAACTCAATTACATTTTCACCTACTTCAGCCCCACCTAATCCTTTTTAATAACATCAACAATGAAATTTATATAAGAAAAAAGCAACTTTTCCCTACTTATGAAAGCAAAGAACACTTCACACAGCTAAATCTAACAGATTTAGGCATTAGCAAGTGTGAGTAATTATTTTGTGGCCAGCAGGCAGCCTTTAGTATATCTTAATCTAATTCTACAAGCAACAGATCCCTAGCTCATTGTCTATGGACAAAGATGAAAATATTTATGACTAGGTAGATAATATTTACACCACAAAGAGATGC